ATCGGGGAAACAAAAAATGGACGAGGGCGAAAAGAAGAATTAACACTTGTATACCCATAATTTTTAACGATTTTTGCTCTTTTCCATTCTCGTCTCATCGTCAACAACACCACCATTGTCATTGCGTTATATTATCAGTTCTTTTTCTGCTTTGACTTTTCTGGGTTTGACTGAAAAGATGTGAGTTGAGGAGCGGTCACTTTAGCCGATTTACTACTTTCTTTTATAATTCTCAGCTTGTGTTAATGCCCATCAGCGTTTGATATGCTAGTATATCTGAAGGAGAGAACCCTCAAGGCAGACGATCATGTGATACTTCTCCCTATATAGGCTTTGGAGATCATTCTTCATCAGCCAACTCCTTTATCATTACGTTCTCAATACTGTACGTCCACTAATGCCGCACCGAATCCCATGAGACAAAAGAAAAAAGGTGAAAAATAAGCCATCAGGAAATCCGATCATCGCTCCCGTAACTTGTCCCGCTCACACTGCGAAAATACATACACATATCAACTAATACAATGCCACCACCACCACCGTACCACCAACGACAACGATCCTCCTATAACCACCATAACAATCCCAACACAAATCCCAACAATAATAATTACCAATCCCACTCGCGAACCTCCTCCGCCACTGCCATGGCCGCATACACAGCCAGCCTCACCAACCTCAACTCTTCCTCTGCCGCAACCACATCCGCAACCTCAACCTCGCACCCTCCCGCACAACAACAAACTTCCATGTCTACGACCAAAACACGCCAATACGCCCATCTACATTCACAACTTGCACAGCTTAACGCACACTTGGCCGACATGGAGAATCTCATGCGCATGACGGCGGCGCAGGCGGGCGATATGCGCTTTCTAGGCGGGTATGTGGGGGCGTTGTTTATGGGGGCGGCAAAGGTTTTGGGGGAGGAAGGGGGTGCGAAGGCCGGTGCGGCGGGTGGCAATGGGAGTGGGAAGGGGAAAGGTGATTAGGGAGAGGGTGGAGAGGTTTCTTCTAAGGAAGGATAAATAATATTCTCATATCAGCGAGTGCTGAGGCTTAGGATGATGGGCAGCGTTGACACGTCCCAATGCGGTATACGAACAGCCTACGTTTAGCTTAACTGGGCTATTTTAGAGGAAATTGGGTCTCATCCATCGCCAGGGATATCGATCGCTACGGTTGGGGGGGGGGAAAGAGGGAAACAGGAACAAACGACCAATCCACCACGACACCTCGCTCACCCCACTCTAACGACAAACCTGTTAGTCGCCAACAACAAATGCTCCCCCAAGAATAATGGCCGGCTCGTCAATGTTGTGATGTTCGTAACTAGGACAAACGATTGATCGTGTCAGCTATTCCGGCCAACAAAAACGAAAAGGAGAGCTTTCTATTTTTTTCTCGATCTACCCAGGCTTCACACTTCATCAAGAGACACGAAATATACCTCAGCGTTCCCACACCTCCAGCCTCCAGAATGAATGCCGTATCTGTAAGCGGTTTCCCAATCCAGCGCATGGCAAACGCTCGCAAAATGTGACCGTGGGCCACGATTAGAACATCACCATTCAAAGGCTCATCCGCCGACTTGGACATAGCTTTGCTGTGATATTTTGATCTGATTTCGGTAACGACCGCGTCTAGGCGTCGGATGACATCATCTGGCGATCTGTGTTATTTGTAATAACAAGAAGAAGGCGGTGGAGTGTTGTCAGCTCCCGCCATTTATACATCGAGCATCTGTGATTTGTGGCTCGCGAAATATGCGATAATCCCGGCCACGGTCTGTGGTGGAGGACATAAACTTACTCTCCGCCAGGACATCCGTGACGCCAAATATCCCACCGACCCTCTCCGTTCTTAACACGCAGCTCTTGGATCTCCGCACTCGTCATCCCTTCATAATCCCCATAATCCCATTCACGAATAGCGTCGGTGATTTCCACATGTGCTTCTGTACGTAAAGGTGTGTTCTGCCCTTTGTCTAACCAGGGAAGTCGTTCTTTGCATCCTATCTCGAGCAATTCGAGGGTTCTCTGCGCTCTGCGACGAGGGGAGACATATCTTGAAGGGGAAAAACCGCAATTGCAAAAATCGGGGCAGTAAGTCAGGATCCAAGCGATGGCAATTCGGCAAAACTTCAGAAAAGCTCCCAAGCTTTGACTTACATGTGCGCCAGGTTTTCGGGGACTATCAATCGATCATGTCCTACCAGTGCTTTGCCGGTAGTTTTCACTCGTTTCTCTCCGTCCTCTGTCAAAGGCAGGTCTGTAGTGCCTGTATGTTTTCCATTCAGCGACCATTCAGTCTCGCCGTGACGGACGATGAAGCAGCGCGGGTTGGAGGGCATCTTCTGTGCGGTTCGTACGTTTTTGTGTATATAAAGAATCATGAGTAATAGAATAGGAATCTTAACCGATATTATACAATTAATCTTTCTTGAAAGGATATGGATACATTTAGAACTCCACCTGCTCTTAAATACGGGAGATGGTCGGGCGGGGCTGATCCTTCCAGATAAAAGGCCTGCTTACGAGACTATCTAGCTCCGGATTATTAAGGGTTCAGCAGTCGTGGCGCGTTTACAAACGGTTGGATGGGAGGGAAGTGGATGGAGCTGCATTAGCGATACCGATTCAATATGTAGATATCTATTCCTTTACAGCAATTCACTTCGAAGGGAAAATACTAGATAGTATATCAAGGAGGAGTTTTGCCAAACGATGCAAACAATGCAAACAATGCACGATATAAACAACTATCTGGAGCTTAAAAAAACTGCTATTTCACCACATACTCAATTGCGTATTACCTGCCTGGCCTTTGCTCTGTGGGAAACCCTCTCACATCCGTCAATCGCAAATGTCAACAGCAGCCCTCTCTCCCAAAGCACGACGGATCATCCTGACAGCTGGAGTCACAATATGCACAATTATGGGCTCGCTCTATGGAGCGGGATTGAGGATGGACCAGGATGCAAAGAAGGTACATTCTCGATTTCATTCTTCCCAATAATCATAAATGCAGAGCGCCCCTAAAAAATCCCCTCCCAAATTTTCTAGGAAGCTGAGAGACAACGATCCGCTACTACCGCGGAGAAAATTCACGCCCTAGAAGCAGCCAGGGAGGTTCTCGTTAGACGACGAACTTCGCTAGAAAAGCAAATAAATGACCTGCGAACAAGACAGGAGAACAGGCGTAGGAATGAGAAGATTGGTGACAGTGGGAGGCCGCGGTGAAAATCGGAGCTGAAGGTGTTAGACCTTTGGGCTAGCTGGTTAACACGCAGCCACCACCTAGGGGTGCGTTCGTGGAAGCGCAGGGGAATAGCTGACGAAAACATCCATACTTAACATTTTACCCCTTCATATTCAGATTCGGCCCGTGTGCGGATCGCCGGGAGAACGCGCGTGGTGCCTTACGGCGCTTGTGGAAGGATGTGATCAGACCTCGCTCCTAAGCTGAGTTACATCGTTACAATCGCAGTCGCAGTCGCAGTCGAGCGCACACAGCGGAAGGACAGTTTGAACAAGCACTTAAATATCGGAACTACGGGATAATCTTCTATCGTACGGCATATGCTGACGTTGGGCTCCTTCAATTCTCTTCCTGACCTTAAAAGTCTTGACTGACACTTGCCCAACTGTCTCGAGTTCAATTAACATTTTATTTGTCGTGTGTGGGATCGGAACGAAGTGGTAGCTACGTCGATGATATATGTTGCTCGTGGATGTGTCTTTTGTTTTGTGGATAGGGCTTAGTGACGACATAGTGTCTGCAGAGAGCAAACGAACGCCCGAACTGTGTCCCGGTGGTTGCTGATCAAATGCTTTCCCACTTTACCCTTTAGCATATTCTCGCCTTCCTGGTCGCTGCAGCCACCACCTTCGGCGGCATATTACCATTTTTCAATACTAGGTACGCAATCAAATAATTCGAACCACTCAGCGTATTGCCGCTTCCAAACAGGCCCAATCAGTTATGGCTGCAGCGTCAGCGTGCACCACTTCCACAGGAAGTACGTTGTTGACCTTCTCCTCCCAAAAGAGTCTCGCTGGATTTGATACCGTCCTCATAATCCTCTCGTATCTGGGTTCGGTTGGTGGCTACGTGTGTTGGCGTGAAGGGATGCCGGCAAGGGGCAAAGGCAGCTTTCCGCGCATCTATGGGCTTTTTAATCGCTGCGTGGAGCGGGCTTTGGATGGCTGGGGGACGGTAATTTGTACTTTAGCAGGGTGCGTGTGACGGGTGTTGTTCTCTTTGGAGCTTCCTGAGTACGCTCAAAGCTTGGACATATGATTTGACCTGTTCGAGGAAGTAGGAGGGTGAACGAAATCAAATATATAGAAACAGGTAAACTTCCCTTTTTCTTTTTTCTTTTTTCTTTTTTGCTCCGTATTCATCATTTGCTTGTTCGATCAGGTTGTGTCATTGCGTCGTAATTACAGATGGAGTTCAAATATCAGAAGAGGTGGGACAACGTGATTTCTCACTATGGCAACGGTTCTTGAACAAAATTGTTGGGAAGCATAGGAGCTTTTTTTGAAACGGGGTAATTGATGTCGCGTGTTGCGCGGAAAAAGAACATGAAAAAATCAAAAGTGATGTATTCCGAAATGCTGAAAATTTAGTTTTCCTTGAGGGGTATTACTAGCTAATTATGGCTATAAAATCTATGTTTATCCTGGGTATACCTATATAAACTGTTGAAAGGGAAGCCGGAACAAAAAAGGTAGTAAAGAAACGGAATGAAGAGAAGGCAGTCATAACAATATATGTCCATTAAGGAGGAATAGAAGCAAACACCAACATGATGCATTCATTCATTCACAAAGGCCGTTCATCCGTTTAATCCAACCCAATATAATTACCAAAATCATAATGCAACAAAAGGAAATGATGCAAATGTACTTACGAATTAAAAATGCCAGAGGAGTTAAACCCCAGATTAAACAAAACCCACAAAACGAACAAATGAAACGATAAAACGATTAAAGTCAGTCCTCCAGAACCCCCCTTGCCAACACGGCCAGGCTGGCCTCGTACCTGGCAGGACTATGATCACCCAACATCCCGGACCCGAATCTTACCTCGCCGAACCGCGTTTCTACATCCCGGATGAATTTAAGCTGCACACGGGTTGCAGGTCGACCTAGGCGCGCTGATCCATCACCACCACTGAAGGAGTCGAATGTGAATGCATCACGATGCAATACACGCATAGTCTCCACGACAAACACTTCGCCAGGCGGGAGTAGCTTGGGTGCTACTAAGTTCTCACGTAGCGATTTCAGCGTAGTCCAGGCCCAGGAATCTTCACCAGCTCTGTCACCCGCGTGGACGAGGAGCGGGGGTCTATTTATGTAGAATTTGTTCACGACTGTGGCGGTAATGCTTTCCCAGACACGTGAGCGGACATGCGCTTTGGCATCGGACATATCACTTTTGAAAGCCATAGCGACGGCGTGAAAATCGAGGAGAATTCCGAGGGATAAGGTTGGAACGATATCTTGGCCGTTGACGACAGTTGTGATTAGGCCTCTTGTAGCAAGTCGGAGGGCGGGACTCATTACTGCAGGCGGCCCAAAGGCGTAGACATGTATCGGTCGTCCGGAGGGGAGAAAGAGTTGACCAGTTTTTCGCTCGCTGTATCCCGCTTGAGACGATGGAAGTAGGGTCATCCCAGATGAGGGTTTGGCTGCCGTTACGAACGAAGGCCCTGGCTTGTCTGTATCCAGTGGTTTCGAGATCATAGTTGCTAGAAGCGAAGCGACACCACCACCTAAAGAGTGGCCACAGAATATGACTCCGTATTCTGGAAACTCTTCCAGCGCAGCTCTGATTGTCGCCATAACGCGCCCACCACCTCCTTCAAGGAGCCGCCTCGCTGATGCATGCATCCCCTTGTGGACCTGCCATGTCCTTCCCAACCAATAGAGATCATCATAATCGCAGGTCATATCCGTCAAGATATCTTCAAATCCCCACGTGCCTCTAAGCGTCAAGACAACAGCTTTGGAGGCGTGGTCCAGGGACAGATAGTGCACCAAAGGGAATCCTTCAGCAGTTTCTCCAGCTGCATTCGACCCTCCTGCAGGGTCGACAAATGATGAAAGAAGGATAGTTGATGCTGGGAGCCCAGTATAGTTGGAAAATGAGCAGTGTTCGTGGTGATCATCGCTGATATATTCATCCTTCTGCCGTGTCTGTTTGAGGTTCCCAATACCCATTACACGGAGGAAATTGGAACCGTACGATGCCGAGGAGAAACGGGAAAATCTCTGTATGTTTTTCACAATGTGGTCATCGGGAAACATTCCTGGAACCCGGCCATCGCGTTGGAGGGCTAAAATCGTAGCTTGGTCATCGTACACACTCTTTGCAGGTCGTGTGGCAAGAACTAAGGAAGTTTCAGATCCCGCATCGGCAATGGAGTAGGTGCTAGGTGCAAGTGATTTAAGGGATCCTCTTCGATGCGATGCCAGAGTCCGCAGGCTATCATCGTCGTTAACGAGAATAGACAGGTCTTTCTCGGACGTAGCCCTGGAGAGCGCGCTGCTGCTACGGACGTGATTTCTTGATTTTACAGGAGAACTGGGACAGGATTGCCTAGAACAAAGGGAGTATGCGTCGGTTTGGGCGGTATATGACTCGACTCTTTTCCCTTGAACAGAGATATAACTTGATTTCGAAGGAGATTTCGTTTGAATACCGTTCAAATGCGAATTGACTGAATTACTACTGTAGCTTCGCTTCTGGCATGGAGGCTCGCGCCTTGATGGTAGCCGGGGTAAAGTTTTGTCAGTAAAACCTAAGCGTTTTGCTTTTGGTGGAGTGGGTAGTGTATTTTCGCTACTATTCGATTTACCAACAGGTTTCTTTAGTGAAGAATTTTTCAAAACGATTCGAGAGGAGATATTTTCTTTGTCGGATTTGTTCACGTCTTTGTCTTGTGAGGACGGTAGGGCTGTGTTGGCTATGCCTGTAAACATCTTCTTCAAAGGTGGTTCTTTGTGGGCTACTTTATCTTCACGTTAGATATGATTTTGTGGGAGAATTTGGAGAGGGATCTTTTTTCTAAGAGTACCTTTCTGCGATCCGGAATCAGTTATCGATGATTGTAGACCTGGGCCATGTGCGAACGAAAGGTTATTGGTATTTCCCGGGTAGGAATCCTGCAAGGTCGCCGTATTAATAGCAGATGGGTCCGAGGCCGGTATTACATCGCTTATCGATTTTCGCTTGTCTGAAGAACGAGGCAAGGAGACTGAATTGCAATCGACAGTGGATAGTACATTGCTGAACTCTTGTTTGCGTAGCTCCGCACTTTCAGAATGGTTTGAAGTAGTTCGAAATACAACAGTATGTTTCGGCGGATGGCTTACAAAACCCCTTGAAGCATCGCTTGAATCCGCATCCTGAAGGTGGTGAAAGCTTTCCACTATCATTTTAGCCCCAGGCGGCGGAGACAGATCCACAACATCGTTGTCATAGAAGTCAACTGTTATAGTTCTGGATGTGACGGTGTCTGTCCTTATTGAGGCCCTGGTGCCATCTGGTAACTGGTTCATGATATATACTCGGATCTCTTCATCAGAAAGCTCATACTGGTGATCAGCGGGGAGAGAAACATGGGGTAAGAGAGTGCCTAGAGTGTTCCGTCCAGATGTGTCATGTTCCATCGATCTTAAGATATCAGCACCGTCAGACTCATCTGGAAATATAAAAGACGACGCCCTGGAAGAGGCATGCGTGGGTCTGGTTTCAATATCCTCGGGATATTCGGTTTGTTGGGTTCCTACAACATCCGCTCTCAATCCGTTGTCGAGGATTACTACATCCCAAACGGTCTCCTCCTTGCCTTTTTCTCGTATTTCTCTCTCTGTTGCTCTTCGACCCCACCGTTGCAGCAAGGCAAAACCGGTGGAGCCTACCAACAAATCAGCTACGCTCGCTTTCTGCCCGCCATACTTGTTCGCTTCGCTGCGATATTCTCTTATAATAAGCGTGATAATAGCGGCAATAGCACGGGACGATTCAGAAGATCCGAGGATAGCATCCAGTGTGGAGAGGAGGTTCTGGGAGAACACGGAAAAAGAACTTAACGTCATCGAGGAAAGGTGAAAACCGGCAGAAGCAAAGAACGAGGCGGAGGTTATCGTGGAATGTAAGGTTGCCAGCTTCAAAATATGTCAACTTCACTCAATATTCTATGGGAACTGAATTTCCTCAAAGTATAAAAATCAAAATAAACAAAAGGAGACGCAAAAATGATTCGACGTACACTGCGCTCCAGCAGCGATTCGGCCTGCATCCTCCCATACTCGGTACCTTGCAGGGCCACATCCTTGCCAGCCTTTACCAGGATACTCTCGACAACAGCTCTGCTCAGTTCCAGACCTGTGAGAGTGGTAGTCCTCGCACTGTCGAGAGCAAATCCGCCTAGGAATGTCCCAACACGTAGAGATAATGACGTCGACTGGGCAAACAGCGACACGAGGGAAGCCACCGGGCGGGGGAGAAGAGTTCTGCCTGATGACAAGGGGATATTTTCACCAACTGCCCAGTTCCCGTCCTCCCTGTCATGGGAGTGAACTCCAGGCATAGCGGAGTGTTATGTGTACGCAGGTCGTGTCCTTTGTCCGAGACGCTGGGCTTTCCGCGACGAGGTCCATAGACCACAACAATGGGCAGCGGTTTATTTTTAAAAGCGACCAGAAGGTTGGTACGTGGTAACCAATTAGCTGAACGCAACATGTGATCCAGCCCAGCGGCCAGGACGCAGTCCGCTTATCCCACGGGTCTGGCTGTCTCTCATGACAGACTCGACAGCAGACGTGACGATGTTGATGATGATGATGTTGATGATGTTCCTTTCGTCGCTCCACATGTGATCTTGTTGAGCCCCATCTTGCCGCAATCGAGAGGCGGGTCTTGGCATCGACTCTCTGTGAAGCCGCAGTCTGATATCCAACTGATCCGCGGCGAGAGGAACGAAAACACTTGGTCATTCCGTGTTCAGAAGCACGCAGGTGAGGATGAGGAGGGTTGTACGATCCCAGGTTGCGCCAAGGGAATCTGTGACACCCATTTTCACATTTCGTCCCGAGAGAGTCCAAGCTTCGGGCCTGTTGAAGGATGCGGGATCAAGATCTTCCCCGTGAACTTAAATTATATGCCGGCAACTTATTTCCACGCCACAGTCATTCTATGGATGACTCGCGGAAACTGGTCCAAGCCTACGGAGTGCTCCGTACGGAGTACAGATTACGGATACAGATTCCAGATATGATATACTGTCTATTGAGGCGAGGCTCAAAACTCACCCAAGCAGTGGTTGAAACCCGTGCCAGTGCTGTATTATTAGCGCGATGGCGCAACTGGTGCTCCATCTAGACTCAGATGGTATGAACGCCCACGGCGACCAGGGCTATCCCTCATTTATTCGTTCTCATGGATTTTAAAGGGGAGTCGCCCAAAGTTCTTCGCGCCAAGCGGCGATTGCTGGGGCAGGCGGATTTTTTGTGCCCCTGGTCTCTGATGGAGCCGTCCACTATTTGCAGGAGCCTAGGGTTTTTTGGGAATCCTGAGGGGCCTAATCCCGGCATGCTGTGTGTGATGCTTGCCACGGCAACGTGGGCGTTGAAATGGGTTATTATTTCAAATCGCATCCGCCGCGATTATTGGTTGTTGTTATTATTACTGATCAACCACGCTTCTTCCAAAGTATTTTGTTTATCGGCGCCCATTTTCGGCGAGCTGGCTCTCAGCAAAAATGCTGCTGACCAACAAGCTTATTACCGTTAAACAACGGAAGAAGAATTCTGCGGAACTCTGATTTTGAGTTCCCTTCGATTGTCGGCGCGAAATCCGCCCAACATCACCTTTTAGTCTTTCCCAGGTCCGTCCTAACCACCCCTTTTCACAATTTCTACAACGCCTTGCTCTTGAGTGATCGCTGTGATGACAAAAAGTAACGAAAAATTTTTTCTATCGCCGCCAATGGCTTTTCTTTCTTTCTTTCTTTTTCTTCTCTGTATTATGTTCTTCCAGAGGACAGCGTGTAGACGCAGTTCTCGCTCAGGACCAGCTGATGATGACTTACATACCGATCATTGCCACTAACTCACTTGAGTTGCTGGCCGTGGATAAACCGGATACTAGCGTCACGGGGCGTGGTCTATTGATTCATGTTTTCCGACACATCCTAGCCGCCCTTTTTCAAGTTTCAGCAGCGGGCCGGCGAGTATTCACGCTGATCATTTTTTGGAGGAAGAAAGGACTTCGAACCCGCTTCTCCCAAAGTTGGACCTCCTTCTAGCAACGCGCTAGAATAACCAGGGTTGGCTTTCCCCTCTCGCCCCCATGCATGGATAGTCACAAACAAGCCACCTGTCTGACGGGGCGTTTCCTCACAACACTACTGCGTTACCAAAGACCCAAATGATCATATTTCTGCATGCATGAAAAGTGGTTTTTTCGATCTGGTGCTACTCGTCCCTTTACTCTACCAAGGGTTGAACATAAAACAGCCAGGTGGATCCTTGATGAATCCTGGCTTGTCATGAAAAGTTCCCGAAGCGCTGAGAAAACCAATTGAAATGAGTTAAGCCAAAGTCGCATTCATAAGGGCTTGGCATCTTAGTCTATTCTAACCGGACTCGTTCCCCTTGAACTTACCTGGTGGAGACGTTATTGCACATCCTGATTCCCCGAAGCCAAGCACTTCGTTGCTAGGAGTATTCTTGTGAAATCTCAGGTGGAGATGAACTCTTCCCCTCAAATCATCCATGCAAGGCCACTAAGGGAGCGACCTTTATCTAGTTAGAAGACTGCCTCAGGGAACATGCTGGAGGGTTGTACCCTGCTAATGGCTCACCATGCATACCCTGCTAACTTGCTAAGTCGCTCTTTTCTGAGAAGCATCACATTCTTTCATCTCCCAAAATCACACACATATATGGCCCATCCATATCACCTGCTCGGATGCGGTGGACTGGAGTTGGATGAAGATGCTAATCGACCACCCGCTCACTTTCTACCCCTGCTCTCCCGCATATGACGAGGCTTCCTAACTCAAAAGCGTGACTGACTCCGCATCCTAAAATATCATCTCGATCTCTCCCCCTTCTCCTCTGCTTTTTCTCATTCCCCGTATCCTTCTCATCGACAGGATGGCATGTCGTATTTTTCAGCGCTCCTGTCCTTCTTCCAGTGACCCTGCGACGAGGGTAACTGGTGCACCCAGGACAAACAAGGAGTCGCGAGTAACAAAACTACCAGGCGCATGGCGTGCTCAAGAAGGGCTATCCTTTGATATGATCATTGGTAGCTGTACTTGTCCTGTAAGTACCAACCGTATATACTTTTATCATGCGATACCCACTGTATATATAAATGTGCACCTTTCTTTCCCCCTCAGTTTCAGAGGTATCTATCGAGCTCGTTTGGCAGCCCCGTTTTCTCTTTTACAGAGGATATACAAAATGTGTAACTATATATATATATATATATATATATTGAAAAAGAAATCGACCAGATTTGTGTAGCTGACGAACTACCATTCTAGCCATGCACTCTTCGGGATTTTATGAACTATTTAAAATATGTTGAACGGAATGCGGAGAACTTGCAATTTTTCCTATGGTATCGCGACTATACCCGACGTTTCGCCTTAATCGCTGAGAGCCAAAGACAGCTCTCACCAGAGTGGGTTGGAAGGGAGAAGCGACGGGGAGGCACTTCATCCCAACCCACCCCAACCGAACCACTCTCCCCGGCTGTAACTATCATTACTGAAGGACAATCCGAATTTACCCAACTTCCCGTATCTATCCATACCGCACCTTTCAGCACACCACCACGAAGTCCCGTTGATACTGATGGCGACTGGAGAACTCCGTCGAGAACAGGGAAGGTTGAGCGTAACTCAAGCCCACGCGTAGAGGCGGGCGGAAATGAAAACTCGTCTGACCGAGCGGCCGAAAACGTCGATTTCGCAAAGTCAGGTTCATCATCCGCCGCTGCAAATAACATTCCACACCTAACATTGGGCGATACGAAACGAATGATAAAGAGAGAACAGCCCGATGATCATCAAACACCAGACTTCTCACAACCCTATCGAAAAGAGCTCAGCAGAATTTACGCGACATATATTGCAGATGGCGCGAGCCGGCAGTTGAATTTGACCTCTCAGGAAAGGGATGATCTAATGCGCGCCCTGGCTTGCACAACACATCCATCAGCGTTTAAACAGGTGGCATCGCAAGTGGAATGGACCCTCCGCCAGCAATCTCACCCTAATTTTATTCGCTGGACCATGAATAATTGTAACCGCCATCGCGTTATCGCCTCTCGCATTCTCAGTTGCACCGCGATGTTTTTTGGCCTGGTAGCTGGTATTCTTCCAATATTCAGTTCCGCCACACGGGCCTGGAGGATGATCTCAGCGTTAAGTCTCTTGCCCGGCCTAATTATTTTTCTAACGTCCTGGGACGGTGCATGCATTGTAAGTTCTATTATGTCTATTTCATTCTTCTGGCAGTCAAACGAAAGGGAAGGATTGGTGGGATGTGGTCCTTCCAGCCTTCTTTGATAAACAAGTCAAGACATAACCTCAATGCTTACACTTTTTTACAGCTCTTCCTCTTCCTCAATCGCCGCCATCTGCATCCCTGGGAACTCTTCTCCGACGAAGACGAACACGTGCGACTAAAACTAGGGATGGAATCCAAGCTCTTCGCAAGCATCGGCGAAAGCAATTCGTACGAGGACGAGCCCTGGATACCCACTTACGAGAAACGCAAATTCTTCCAAAAAGTTTTCGACCCAGATACCAGGATCCAAGACCCGGTGCTTCGTCGCATACACCTCCTTGTCCTTCTCCGCACTTCTACCATAGCTGTCATCGTAACCACCCTCCTCGTCGCTATATTTCTCTCCATACCCAACCGCAATTATTTCTAAAATTACTCTTGTTCTCGTATCACATCACGTCATATATTTTGGGTTTTGATGATGGAGGAAAAATGCGGCGTTTGAGGACGAATGGTAGAATCCTCGATGGGATCTCTTGGGCAATGGTATTTCTAATCACTACTTTTCTTTCTTTTCAGGCAATTGGTCTGCTGGTGTTTTCTTTTCATTTCTATTATCTTCCTATTCGATTTTCGTATGGGCCAGCCTGCAGAGGACAAAGGATTCCTTTCTTTTCCCGTTCCCGTAAATCCTTGCGAGAAGATTGCACTTCTGATTCCCCCTTAACGGCGAAAGAAGAGAGAGGATCGTGGAACAGTGCGTACGGTTTCCTTCCTCGCCACGGAACATCTGCCATATGACACTTTATATATATATATATATATATTTTTTTTTAAAGAATCCCTCCACCGTTATGCATATGCACACACACAGTATAATTTCTCTGAACGCGCTAAATTTTCATTTTATCTCTCTCCCATGCGAATTTCAATCGCAGCTTGAGAGTCGACCTTGCGATATCACACATTTTCATTTGTTTGTACACTGTTCTTTTCACCCACGGAACTTCTGGCTCCCTTGCCTGTATAACCTCCTTTTTTTCTTTTTCTTAGACTCAACTATCATGACTGAGGGAAATGCATGCTTTCTTCTGTGTACTTGTCTTCTGTTTCCCAATTTTCCCGGTTCTCCTTTCTTCCTTGTTTGGTTTATCTTCTCCAGCCCTCCAAACGTCGTTTGTCGTTTGTCAAACATTTCTTACTTTTCCACTTTGCTACCAGGATGGACGAGGTGTTTCTCTTCCTTCTGACCTTTCACTACTCTTTTTGATCATTTCTGCATGAATAATATCATTAGCCCCCCCGCTATTTGAAGTCGAAAGTCGAACTGGCAAAGGAAGATACACCCTGACCATGGGTCCCACGGGCTGACAACGACTGGATTGGGGGTGGGGGGGCAAAGGGGCTTCTAATGTATTTGTTTAACGGAACTTCTCTCATAATTTAGTTCTAGTTTGATATAACTATATGTAACCATACGGCGTTATTCCAAACTTAAACCGCGTTAAGACACGGAGGAGTCTCATTAGCTGCGTGCCGTTGAGATGTTTCTGTTTTGTTTTGTTCCTCAGTTCCCTTTTGTTTCTTGTCTCTTATCTTGTCTCATCCTTATGTTATAGGTTTCGTCAGCTTTCATTGATTTGGGTTTGAACGATGATTACTTGCTTGATTAGTAGGTCCATGGATAAGCAAATCGAGCAGGTTAGAATTATCATCGGGCTTTCGCCAGCCAGTCGCGATTACCGCCCCTATTACAAAAAACATCATAGACATTGGTAAGACGGACCTCTACTTCTTCGACACATGCCCCGAAATTATTAGTGGGTGCGATGTAATACATGCCAATGGGCTATAGCCATCGCGAAACCTTGGGATAATGGCTAGCTAGCTACTTAATCCTGACAACAAATTAAAGAAAGCTTATGAGGTAGGCATTGGCGATTCTTATTATTCTGCAAGATTTGGGGGCGGTGGATAAATATATGACCAGCAACAGAGATTGAAAGTATATATACCGGGGAGACCAACGGGCCTAAGTTTATCTATCTAGGGGCATTATGACAGGTGGCATCTATTTTGGATAAAAGAATGAGTTGATAGCGTTCTAAAAAAATTATCTCCTTCAAGGTTGATGTAACCAAATATTCGTGTGTGCGCGGGAGTTTTTATTCCTGAATATTTTCGTTGGCTGGCAATGAAGCTTTCATTTCTCGAGAATAACTTAACTAACCCCTTCCGCCGTTGGCCTTGGGATAGAATCGGACCATTTTTTGCTGACTGCTTGCACCTCCCTTGAGTAACTCATCCATTTCTGGTCGCCCAAGGATGAGAGTTTTCGGCGCATCTGTGAGAGAATCTGTACAACTGCCACCCTGCTGTCTACTGAGCCAGTCTCTCGTTCTTCGATCTTGCAAGTTGTCGTTATTCACGTACTCATGCGGCCAGAGGCTTAATTCCGGAGTGACTTGCTGAGGGAAGTTTGGAGTTCCACAAGTCATTCATGGAGCTCAAGCCAATTATTTGGTTTTGCTGGTTTCTGGCCATCAGGGTTCTTATATCCAGGGGGATAGACACCGTGATCAGCCAGATTTTGCTGAAAATTCCGACTATAGGCAGTAGTGCTTGAGGCCTTTGTGGATGCCTTTGTAGTGGCCTTATTGTCACTATGGTCTGGAGTAGACCCTGCATGTCGCTTCCGGCGGCCTGAGCTTCTTGCACTCATTGATTGATGAAAGGGATATGAGGATTTGGGAGTTGAGCTGAGGCGTCAGCATAGGTGATAACATATTGCTATCATTACAATTCCTAAGGTCGGACAAGTCAAGCCCACCCCGCCTGGACAGCCTCTTTATCTCCTTAAGGTTCTTAGGCTTGCAGCTGTTCAATGACTCGACAGCGAGTGTCTGACAATGATGCTTGAGCGCTGCCTGGGGTTGTCAAGTTAGTGGCTGATAAGGCCGTTGTCCTGATTCAAGTATCCCCGTTAAAGGGCTGCTATGTCGGTCAAATTCTTGCAAAGTTTCTTTGGTCAACCAAATTTTCGACAGATTATCCCAATATGCTGGTCGCGGCCCACTGAGCTTCAGCCATTTCAATTGACGTTGCGGCTGGGCGAGATCGTCGTCGGGTTCCTGTGGTTTGCGAGATGGTCCCAGGGAGACCAGGCAAGGCATAAGCGTAGTTTGTTGGTGACTTGATTCTCAACGCGAAGTGAGCGCACATTCGCTCATATACCCAAAAAGTGACTGAGCGCGTCGCCTCAGCATTGCGCTATGAAAATGAAGGCGTCTGTTTCATAAACCCGTACCCAGTATGAAAAGGGAGCGCGACAGTATCCATTTCATCTTGATGAAGTTGGAAGCTCATGTAGTTTGTCGCGGTCAATGGGTGAATATAATAATTGGATCTAGCATATTAGTCATATACACTAGTACTATTTTAGTTAAATTTATTGTTTAGTAAGCGAAATAATCATGAAATTCACAGTAATCATTGTCTGATTGTAATATGAACAAACAAATGAATTCTTTTACACAACTTTTCATATTAAATTTGCTTTATATATTCATCTCCCTCGATAAAATAGTCATTTTACACTCTGATTTTTACAAATTCAGTTATCTTTAGTTCTCTTTTATGTTTTTTTTTTTACTTCCATAAAACCATGCCAAGACCATATAGACTAGCACGTCTTTAACGCGTCTCACGTCGTCGCGAGCTTGGACAGTAATTGCATTTCTGGTCCAGCATTCCCAGCGCCAACAGGAACAGACTGGAGCCGCCGGCACCCAGCGACTTTCAAAAGCAACATGCCTTCCCTTGCACCTCTCCCGCAGCGGCGACAGCGTGCTGATGCTCCGGAATCCGACAGCAATAGTCCCATTAGTGACAGGCCTTCGCGAATCTCGCGAGACGGCACTCCCTTTTCCCAAGTGTCTAACGGTAGTAAACGTATCCGCCTTGCAGCACCTAATGATCACGAAAATGACCAAAGCGACGCGAATGGTACGTCGGAAGATGATAGTGATGACATATCTTCCGGGGCAAACGGAATGGCAACGTCCACCAACACGCTCCGTCCTCCCTCTGTCAAGACTGTGCGCGGCTCTCGTGCGAAGCGGAGCGCGGGCGGCAGACAGGAAAGCTCCCACGGGAATGGGCCGAATCCCGAACATCGACCTGGGTCGATTGTGAGAGTGAAACTTAGGGATTTTGTTACATATACCTCTGCGGAGTTCTTCCCCGGACCCAGACTCAATATGGTCATTGGACCCAATGGAACAGGGAAGAGTACTCTTGTGTGTGCGATTTGTCTAGGACTTGGATGGGGCCCACAGGTAAAGCACCTTATTTTCTACATATTTATCGAATATGAGCGGTTTCTGAGGTTCTTAATTTGCGAAAATTACACAATATGCTAACAAAAAACCGGTTACTACAGCATCTCGGAAGAGCGAAGGACCCAGCTGAATTTGTTAAACATGGCTGTGAAGAAGCCACCATCGAAATTGAGCTAGCTAAAGGAAGAAATCATCGTGAAAATCCTGTCATCCGCAGAACCATCGTAAGGAAGGGTAACAAAAGCACGTTTACGATCAATGGGAAGCCCTCGTCGAAAGCATCTGTCCTTGAGCTTGCTAAGTCATTTTCTATCCAAATCGACAACCTCTGCCAGTTTTTACCCCAAGACAAGGTAGCTGAGTTCGCTGCGCTTTCGCCAATTGAATTATTACACTCAACTCAGCGAGCAGCAGCTGGCCCCCAAATGCTACAATGGCATGAAGATTTGAAATCCTTACGTGCTGAACAGAAGAAATTGCTGGCTGCTAACGCCGGCGAACGCGAACAATTGGCAAATTTGGTAAATCGCCAAGAAATGCAACGGGAAGACGTGCAGAGAATGCTTCAGCGTGCTCGGATACAGAAAAAGATTGCCGTGCTGGAGCGCTCCCGGCCGGTGCCAAGATATCAAGAGGCTGTCCAAGCTTTTAAAGAGGCGCAACGGGCACGACGCACTCTTCAACAAGAGCATGATAATTTAGAAAACCAGCTAGCCCCTGCTCTCAAGTCGGTTAATAAAAAAAAGAAATATTTCCAGGAACTCCAAACTGTTCTTACGCAGAAACGAGAATTGGCTGCTGCACAGGAGGGATTGGTGGCGGACGGTGCCCTAAAACTTGAAAAGGCACAGGAGGATATAAAAGACTTGGATGTGCAAATCGAAGCAGAGAAAAAGGGTGCGTTGGCACATAGGGATAATTTGAAAAGGTCTCTGCAGATCATTAACAAACTCACGCGACAAATGGAGGAGGAGCCGGTTGAATATGATGCCGCCGCCTATACTGAGAAAATTGTAAGATTTGTTCTTTTTGTTAACCGCCTTCGTTTTCTTTTTGGAACATTGGCTGATTTATCTGTAGCGGGAGAGCGTGCGTCATATTAGGGCTATCGAGGAGGAGATGAGAAATGTCCACGACGCCAAAAATAAAGCTTCTATGGACTGCGATCTTGCGACTCAGAAAATTGCGAGAGAAAATGAACGTCTGGAGAATCTAAACTCTGAGAGTGGACGACAGGAGGAGAAGCTCAAAAATTTGTCTGCAGACACTGCCAAAGCATGGGCATGGATAAAAGCAAATCGAACAGAGTTCCAAAGCACGGTCTTCGGCCCACCACTAGTAGAATGCTCTATAAAGGATCCTGCATACGCAAACGCGATGGAATCGCTATTCCAAAGGACTGACCTGTTGACCTTCACAGTTCAGTCTCGACCTGATTTTAGGAAGCTCCAGCGAGTATTTAACGAATTAAGACTTCATGATATTAGTTTGAAGGTTTCTACTACTACACTATCTGAGCTCCAAGCTCCAATAACAGACGAGGAGCTTCACTCTTTGGGATTCGACTGTTGGGCTAAAGATTTATTATCCGGTCCCGAACCTGTCGTGGCCATGCTCTGCAGCGAAAATAGATTGAACCGGACGCCTATAGCTCGTCGAGATATCACCGACGATGAGTATACAAGGATGACAAACAGCCCAATTAGTAGCTGGGTGACCGGTCGTCAGTCATATCAGGTTACACGCAGACGCGAATACGGACCAAGCGCCATTTCGACTCGAGTTCGGCAGCTTAAGCCTGCCCAATTTTGGACGAACCAGCCCGCCGATCTCTCCGCCAGAAGCATCATAGAGAATAAGATTAAGGAATTGCAAAAGGAAGTGGATACCTTCCAAGGAGTGTTTGATGAGCACAAGGATGCACTGGCAACTTTAAGAAGACGACACCAAGATGCACAGGAACGAAAGGTACAAATCTCACCCTGGACACGGGGTCTCCGAATATCTGCTAACAGTAATGGCTATACAGAGGGATCTGGAGTCGGAAAAGGCAGCGAAGCAAACTGCTCTAACAAATTATAAGGCTCTGCCTACTAAAAAATGTAAGCTTTACGACTTCCATGTGCCCATTCATTCGCTAACTCCTCTTCTAGCTCAGCAAGAGGATAAACTCCGAGCATCAGAAGCTGCGATAGTCGGTGTGAGACGGAGAGTTGAAGCACTTCGCGACAAACAGGATCAGCTCTCCCTTGAAAAGGCTTCCAGAGCTCTAGAGTATGCTGTAAGTTTCCCCGATGAATGGCAGACCTTTTCCGATGCTAACTGTCCGGTAGAATTATGTCGATGAATTCCAACATTTGATTGAGGATCTTGCTTTAGCGGAAGTTAATCTCCTTGAAGCTGTATCCGACCTTGACGCCCTACAGGAGAGGAACTCGGAAGTAAACCAAATGCTCGAGAGTAAAAAGGCAGAAGTCGAGGATGCTATAAAGGAATGTAGCAAATTGAAGGAGCGGGTGGATAAGTGCCGTCATGATTTTAAAGAATTTGCAGACTACGTCAGTGCCGACCCAGACATGCAGACGGGTGAAATAAGGGAGCTTGTCGAAACAATCAAGAGCTACACCGTTGATCAGCTCGAGGCCGACATTGACTCTGAAAGAGCCGCTCTCGAACTTGCTGGTGAAGGTAATAGCAACGTGATTAAAGAGTTTGAACTGCGCCAGGAGCGCATCGACAAACTCAAAGAACACCTTACTGAGTTCCGGCAAAACCTCAATGAGCTGGACGAAGCAATAGCTGAAGTTCGAGGCCAGTGGGAACCTAGACTCGAAAACCTCGTGAAAAGAATCAGCGATGCCTTTGCCGATTCCTTCTCCCGCATCGGCTGCGCAGGGCAGGTGAGCATCGACAAGGCGGAAGATGTCACGCCAGAACACGAGAACTTTGCGCTTAGCGCTACTCAGACCGATAACGGCAACCGCGGTACGAATCGCACAAATGACTTCGATCAGTGGTCTATCCGCATCCAAGTGAGGTTCCGCGAAAACGAAAACTTCTCCATCCTGGACGCGCATAGGCAATCTGGTGGGGAGCGGGCAGTCAGCACGATCTTCTACCTCATGGCTCTACAGTCGCTTTCAGCCTCGCCGTTCCGTGTCGTGGATGAAATCAACCAGGGCATGGACCCGCGAAACGAGCGGATGGTGCATGAGCGCATGGTAGATATTGCATGTGCTTCGGGTGAGACTGGTGGAGATGGCGGGGGCCAATATTTCCTCATCACGCCCAAGCTGCTTAGTGGGCTGAAGTATAAGAGGGGGATGAAGGTGTTATGTATCGTTAGTGGGGAGTATGTGCCAGAGAATTATCAGCAGATGGATTTTGGAAAATGTGTTTTGAGGATGAAAGATGTCTTGAAGGCGAGAGGCAAGGGGAAGGGGGCGGAGATTGGTGGCGGGGTGGAGGGGATTGACATTGGGGCGTGAGAAATTAATTGGTAAAAGGGGATCAGCGCTGTGTGGGTGCCTGATATCGATGGAATGATATGATTTGGACACTCTTCGAGTGGCTATTTTAGATGAACAGTCATCCTGGAGTTGTTTTTTTTTTTTTTTTTTTTTTTTTTTTTTTTTTTTTCTCCCTTCTCTTTCCTTTTTCTCTATGGTTTTTATTGGGAGACTCGCTTGCACGGTTTCCAAAACCTGGGCTTTTGTTGATATCTAACGATTTGATCGAAATATAATTGATATATTGTCAGTCACTTGTAACTTTGTAAAAAGGAGCTTAAATAATAATGACTCTCGGCGTGCACCAATAAACGGGGAAAAAACATGGTTCCTAAAACAGCAATATCCCTCAGGCTCTCGTAAAATGCCTGACTACTAACCAACCGTATCACTCACGATCGATCTACATCAATGCACATGACCATCCCTCCCCTTCAACCTCCCCCTCCCCTGAGGCTCCTGCAACCGCAACGATCTCTCAACCCACAGCTTCGCCGCAACTCTCAGGCCCCCATCCCTTCTACATTCCCGCTCCACAACATCGCTAACATTCTTCACCAAACCCAACGCAAAGCCCAAGTCCACACCCGAACCAACTTTTTCTCCCTTGCCCTCCCCTTCCACCACTCCCGTCTCCCCGCCCTTCGTCACGCCCATGATCCGACTCATCTGATTCATCTGGTTCATCCTCTTCACGCCTCCAACTATGCCAACATTTCTCGTACTCGGGATGCGAAGCAGCGTCTTTTCGACATCAGAACCATACCCTGCGTCTCTGGCCACCAGCATAACTTTCGCAGTAAGGGAGGCGTACGCGGAACTTTGGCAGTCTGGGTTTGTGGTCTCTTCGAGTCTCAAGGCGCGGAGCTCCTTCAGGTTGCCGGTGGAAGGTTGGGGGTTTTGTTGCTCTTCGGCCTCCGCTGCCGCTGTTGGTGATATTTCCTCCATTTCCGGTTTCTGCTGTTGCTGGCGGGTGGCGTTCGTGCTGCCGTTGATAACATGGACGCTGTTGTTATTTTTGATGTTGTTGGTGTTGGAGGGCAAATCTGTTGCGCGAGACGTTTTGTTCGGATCCTTTGTTTTAGGCTGTGATTTGGGGGCTGGGTACCTATGGCGCATACCGGACATAGCATGTGAACAACAGGGGATTGCGAGAAATGGTAAAGGGTTCTCAGGGTTCGAGAGGGCGCCAAGGAGGGGTGTCCATACTGTCAATTCGTCGGCGTGGTTGGAGATGACGAAGGTATTTTTGTCGAAAATTCCGTCGTGAATGTCAGATGGAGACTTCTGGGTGGATGTCAGATTCGAGTCTTCACCCATGTGTTGTTCAAGAGCATCTTTAAACGGCTTGGGAATGCATATAATTTGTTTAAGGCGATCCTGTGTTGATGCGGGAAATGTAGACCATGACTTCCTCTGACGGGCATCGAAACCCCACCCGCCATACCCTTCTGCGTGTAGTATGTACGTCAAGACGCCATTGCCACATGCAATATCAACGAAACCAGGAAAAGCAGGAAGGCTATTTTCCGCCTCATTGGCATGGCTTTTTGCCTTAGGAAGAGGTGAGCTGTACATGCCCCTCCACAGTTCAATTAGAAAGGCCGCGATCGCAATATCCTCGAAAACGTGCTTGGAAGGTTCGGTAGTTTCAACCCAACTGTTCATTATAGGCGCTGCATATGTTTCTTTCAATCGCGAATAGGTATTCTGCACAACGTGTTGTAGGACGATGTTATCCTTTGGAGCCGCCGTTTTCGATCTGGGTGGCCCAGCGGCGGCAAAGGGTTTCCTCGACAGGCGTAAGTGAGTCGATAAAAGAGCCAGCAACGTCCGTTGGAGGCGATATGCAATAGACTGCGGAAGTTCAGGGGTAAATGGTGAGAAGTGAATGGAGAGGGTGCCTGAATCCTCGGTTTCGGATTTGGCTGAACAATTTAGATCGTATGACAGGGCTAATGCTCGTACCGATGGATGGTAATATGGCATCTCGCTTTCTGAGCGAATGTGAGGGGTGTAAACAACAAGGCCGCGTTGCTTCACCGTACGCGAAGCATCTGATATATCTACATTGCATGTTCCTTCATAGAAGTGACAGGTTTGTTCTATTGGACGATCTATTTGCTTTCTGGGGACGAATCGTCTTACGACAGTCCTGGTGAGGCGGAAGCCAGAGAACGATCCCAGTTGCATGGCTAATGGAGCATCCCTGTTTGTTTGTTCAGCATCTATCCCTTTAGAGGGAGAATTAGAGCAGTTTTTTTCCCTGTTGTTTTGATCTTGTAGAACACCTGCGCTATCGTATAAGATATCGGCTCGGAAAACATGGCTACAGTTTATATTGGGATTCGTCAAAAGGTGGGTCGTCACTCCCAGGAAAGCTTCTGGAGAAAACTTCTCTCCAGAATTGCTAAGTTGTGGGGATGTAATCCACGTTCTTGAACTAGACGATAGAAAGGAGTGCCGGAGAGTTGCACCAAAGGCCATATCCGGTTGCGCGATGGGGTCATCGCCCAAACGGGTAATTTCTGTGGAGCGCATGATAGAATCATTAAAAAGGGGGAAACGCAATAAAAAAAAAAGCAAAGCAATGAAAAAAATATATATATCAGAAAGGCGAATTCAGACTCTATGGAAAATCCAATAATTCACGTCGATGCAGCGCAAAGGGGGTATCAAGTAGACAAAAAAAAAAGAGGCCAGGTTGAGGGGTTGCCACCACCACCCTGGGCCAAGGCGCTCAGCTTTTATCATTAAAGCACTGATCTAGCGGCCATCTGTTTGAATGCTTCAATGGCTCTATTCCACCATAGCTGGAATTAATGTCAGCGACGGATAGACATAATAAGGCGCTTGATCCTATTGTAACGTGGAAGTGAGGTTGAAAATTTCCTATCTTGGAAAAGAGGTTTGGGCAATCTCGCGATGTTGTGATAAATATTATGATCACGTGATGTATTTTCTTGCCGTTGCTTCTCCTTGACACTTCCAGCTAAGCATAGTATCTATTGTTGCGATTTGCGCAGTATGGGGGGATTGCCTTTATCCCATGCACAATCAATCAACATAGAGATTTTTGTGCCATACTGAGAGAGTTCAAGTTAGTTTGTCGAAGAGAAACCATTGTGAGCCTTGGAATCGCTCGCGAAAGTCTGTACGGAATAAGTATCAGTATGTATGGTAAGCTGCTGGGAACGCGTGTATTATTGGAAAGTTTGATAGATCGGGAACAGCGTATTGCGCAAGAAGAGCAAATACGACCTTCGCTGTCGTACTGCGTGTTTTGTCTCAGATACGCAGCTGACGAAGCCAAGTTACTTGGCAAGTTGTCCGTGGTAGCTGAGTGAATTCGATTGTCAATGCGGGAACAATCATGATGATGGCTATAACTATTTCTGACATCTCAGTAGCATTCCATTCCAGCAGCAATTCCTCTCCCACCGGAAATACAATTCGAAGCATAATAAAGAACCGCATTAACAACCCACGGTCGTAAACAGCGTGTATGGCTCCGTCAGAACGGTGACGGTAATCGAACCCGTCACAGCCCCCGCACCCATACTATTACTGGGTCTTCTGACGATTACCCCTAGACTGACAAATACGCCGTAATGACAAAGGATACGCCTAGCACCGCAGGCCTGCTGCCGCTGAAAAAAACCGGAAATCCGTGAAATACCTGACACATTCCTCTCTGCCTGCCTCTCTTTGTTCCTTTTCTTTCTGGTTCAAAACACCCAAACGCAGTATTCCGCTGCTGTCTGTATTTGTTCGACGCGAACTGTCTCCATTAATTACTCCCGCTCCCGCTCTCGCTCCGACTCTCCCTTGGCTCTGTATCTCTGTATCTCTGTATCTCTGTCTCTGTGTGAGTCTCTCGACTTCGACATCTCCCTCCGTTGTCGCCTCCCTGCAGCCTCTCTGCCGTCCGGCTGCCCACCAGGCATCGTGCCTTGCCCGTCCCGTCCCTCCCGAGTCCCTCCTCGCCGTCAAGACGTCGTCCCTCCTGGATCCGTCGCTTCTCCTTCCGCATCGTGTTGCTTTCTCGAATAATACGATGGGTCGCACCGTTGACCAAGAGGTCCACGCGGCTTTCGTCGAGTTTCGCGCCAAGGAGGATGATAAGGTGAAACTTGCCTGTATTTGCTTGTAATTATCCTGTGTAATAATCATACTTACGAACATCAACTTTACTGACCTATATATCTTCTTCCCGGTATCAACAGTGTCTCTCTGTCCAATGCATATACTGCCAGCAGATCAGAGCAAAGAACACCAGTCGACAGAAGCAACATCTCCTCGAGTGTCCCGCCCTTCGCGGCCATAATCCTCCCCATGCCCAATCTGCCCCTACCAATGGCGTAGGCGCCGTCAATGGCTACGGGGCGCCTCCGAACGGGCCTGCTGGTGGCCCTGGTGCTGGGTCAGCGACAGCCACCCTCCCCTCTGCCAGTAGCTCCATGATGGCCAATGGAGTTAACCCTCATAGCAGTGCTCTGCAGACTCCCATGCAGAATCTCTCCAGCCGTCCGTCTCTTCCTTCGCAGGCAGCTCCTCCCCCGAGCGCGTCCTCGGCAGCTGCCCCGTCACAGCAGCGTGCACACACCACCCCCAAGACCTCGAAGCAGCCCAGGCAGAGCACCTCGAGCCTGCCAGCTCCCCCACTCGACGATGTACATGCCGCCTTTGTCGAGTTCCGCGCGAAGGAAGAAGATAAGGTACGTCGAATATTTATATCTATCACACAAACAACCGCATGCTGTACCTCAAAAAAGACTGATTGGTTTGAAAAATACCAGTGTCTCTCTGTCCAATGTATATATTGTCAACAAGTCCGTGCAAAGAACACAAGTAGACAGCGCCAGCACCTGCTGGAATGCCCACCGTATCTCAATGTGATGAAAGACTCTATCCCCGCCAATAACCTCCAACACTCGTTCCCTGAAGGTGATATTGCGCGCTCTCTCCAGCTGCCAATACCCACATTGGAGCTTGACTTCCGCATGAGCCTCAAATTGAACCCAACGGTGACAGTTGGGCAGGGCCTCTGGGGCCAAAGAGACTGGGTCACGTTTGTTGGCGGGCAATGGGCAGGCAGATGGGGTAAAGGAATTGTCCTGGTAAATATCGTTCCTTCTTTTAACCTCCTCTTCATGGAATTCTCTCTCTCTCTCTTATATACTAACTGCACTCAACCCATTTCCAGCCTGGAGGACAAGATTCGCAAGTTGTTGTCAAGGAGCTCTCGACTCACATCAAGGCAAACTACCTCTTACAAACCGCGGATGAACCTCCGGCGTTCATCGTCGCAAAGACCACCGGCTGGATGACAGGCGCAAAGGATGTTTTGGAAAAACTCTCGGACCCTTCCATGGCCGACTCCGTCAACCCAACCACCTATAAATATCGCATTCATATCGCCTTGGAGACGGGAGACGAGCGCTATGCCTTTGTCAACACGGTCATGTGGGTTGGTAGTGGCTGTCGCCGCTCTTCGGAAGGTAGGAGAAGTTTTTATATATAATATCTGATTCTGTTGAATTCACATCAATAGTTTATCCTTATACCTACTCGTTTCATCTATTCCATTGGCTAACACTTATCCTTGCACAGTTATTTTCGATGCTTTCCGTATTACCTAAAAGAAAAGGGGCGATTATCCCATGAATCTCGTTCCTCGTGATTTGCTTGTATCTTTTCTTGGCTTTTCTATATGAGGTAAAAGCTGGGCTTTTACGTCAATCAGCCAATCTCTGTCCCTTTCCCTCTCTCCCTCTTCGCCTCCATTTTTCCCCAGCGTCCTCGAGTCGAAACGGAAGGTGTCAGTGGCGACCTGGGTCGGTCTCTCATAACTTATCTTACTCGTTTATTTCGATGATATGATCTTCGGCTGAAGCACAGACTCTCTCAGATGCGTACATACTAGTAGTCGT